GAGGTGGAATCTCTGGAAGTTGATTAATTCATGAGGGCTCTACCCTCATGAATGGGATTAGGACCCTTATCAAAGAGGCTGGAGGAAGCTTGTTCACCCCTTCCACCATGTAAATACACAGAAGGTACCATCTATGAAGAACAGGCCCGTACCAGACACAAAATCTGCTGGCACCTTGATCTTGAATTTCCCAGCCTCCAGAACTGTGAGCCATATATCTCTGTTATTTATAAATTACCCACTGTAAGGTATTTTGCTGTAGCAGCCTACATGATAATTTTGACATTTGGGGTCCTTATAGGAAGGCGAGGAGCTTTCGAAGTTCAGAATGAGACTCCTCACTGTGATTTGTACCTTTCTTCACTGCTCATTATTTCAATAGTGCTGGATGGTGGAACGAAATCAGAGAGGATCACATCATAATTTCTGACCATTTGTTCATTAATTCATTTATGCTCCAAATATTTACTGGGCACTTACTAATGCCTGCTGGCCCCCCAGGGTGTGGACAAAGGAGCTCTGACTATAAGCCAAGGAGATCTTTATTCACCTGTGCAGGCTTAGCTTGTATTGGGGGCAAGGTGGCAGGGGGGTGGTGTGTCTTCACAGCAGTCTCCTAGAAAGTTGGGGACATATTCTTAAGGAGAAGCTGATGCCCAGAATGTCTTTGAGAACTCCTAATTTAGAATCACCTTGAGATCCAATTTATAAGCCAAGGAGAAAATCAGTTCAAGCACTTTTCAATTCTCTCTCTCTTTTTTCAGCAAGAAATGATGCTCTACCACCATTCCAACACACACACACACACACACACACACACACACACACACACACACACACTTCAGCAGAAATGTCATCTAATAAAAACCAGATCATCTTTCAGACACCGGAAAGGCAGGGCTTGTGGCAATGGACTCACCTGAGTTTGGGCACTGAGTCCACTTGGCCTGCCTGTGTACTCACAGCCAAATGACTTCACCTTTTCAAGTCTCAATTTATGCTCTTAAAAATAAATACAATAAGAAACCTTGTTGCATCTCTGTGAGGATGAGAGAGAACGCCATTATGAGGTCTAATGCAGCACCCTGAACAGAGACAAAACTCAATAAATGGTATTGTGGTTTCTAACTCCTAAGTGAGGGACTTGTAGAATTTTACAAACATTTTACACACCTTTGGCAGGCATGCTTCAGTGCTCAGGCGCTACACATATCACATGGGTAACGCTCAGATGCTTGGTAAAGTACAGGATAGCAGAGTCCTTGTTTTCTTATTGTACCTCAGAGAACCATGTAACTCACAGGTCTCATCCAGTCCTCTGCCTCTGCCATGCAGGGAGTTGAGGGGGAGGACAGGTCCCCTAGAGGGAGAAGTAGTGGCAGCCGGTACCAGTCCCTGGAGGCAGCAGGCAGAGCTGCTAGAAATCTGCAGGTCCCAAGCTTGTCATAAGATCTGGACTCAAGACTTCGGCATCCTCGGGCCCCCAAGGGCGGGGCTCACCCGCCTCTTAAGACTCCAACTTTACTGCGTTCAGCAAGGGGTGAGGACTGGATATAGCGGCTGGGAGAAGGGAGTGGCAGCTTCCCCTGCAGCCTTCCTCTTTCCCTGCCCTGGAGCCAGTCTAGACTGTTTGCTAAGCACACAATCAACACCCAGGTAGTCATTTGAACCCATCAACAACCTCCCACAGGTAGTATCTTCTCATGTCCCCACAAAACCAGCTCAACTTTGAAAGACTGGTAATTACTGCCCCATTGGATAGATGGGGACATCAAGTCTTGCCCAAGATTATACATATACAAGTCATTGATTTTAGTGTGGCGGCTGGGACTGACATCTGGAAGCAGGTCTACTATCTCCAGCCCACTGTGCTGAGCTGTCTACAGCACATCAAGAAAACCTTCAGAGACCTGCCTCACCACCAGCCTCATAGCCAAAAGAAATAATATCTCTACAAGTATAAATTTTCCAAGAAATAAAACGTTAAGCCCTCAAGTTCTAAAGCAGAGATAGAAAAAGAAAGAACTAAGGAATTACTATGGAAGAGATCAAATACCTACACAGGAGGAAGTCTAGAGAAACAGCCAGGAGAACACATCCTTCAGGTAGAGTAAGGCTGACAGGCTCTGTTTCTTATTAAACATATGACCTTGGGCAAGTCATTCAGCCTTTCTGGATGCCCACCTTAGAAAGCCATAGGGTTGTTATTGAGAATTCAATGCAATGGAAAAGCGTGTGGAGCCTCCTGCAGGGTGCCTGGCACGTGGAATTGATTAGAATCATCCTATGGAATTTCAGGGCTGGAAGGAGCTTGAACAATGACCTCATCTCAGTGTCTCCTTTCATAGACTAAGAAAACGGGCCCAGAGAGAGGAAGTGACTTGCCCAAGGTCACACAGCAAAGTCATGGTGATGCTGGGTCTAGCACCCTCAGTTTATTCTTAAATCAAAGACCAAAACCTAACGATAGACCTGATCTTCCAAGCTGCGCAAGGATGGAAGGAGCTTTTTCAGGCGTACCAAAACCTAAGCTTTCTTTCTCCATTTAACAAGCAAAAATATGGTATTTCTGTCCAGAAAAAAAATAATATATATATATATATATACATATATAAATTTTAAAACAACAACATTAATACTAAAATCCTAGATCTTAACAGACACTCTTTCATTAAGCCTTATTTTTCCTGCCTTCTTCTCTCACTGCCCCCCCCAACCCAAATATTTTGCAATAACAGTAATGCTGCAAGGAAAGAAAAAATAAAAATCTGATGCACTTAACAGATATTTCGGTACACTAATGCATCACAGATGTTCGTATCAAACTGCGCACGCGTGCATGCAATTTTACCGAGGAGGCTGCTGCATTTCTGATCTTGAATTTTTGGCTCCCTAATGACCTCATCTGCCCAGGCTCCAGAATCCCACCCTTCCCACTTAGTCCACGGCTGCCCAAGGGGGATGGAGGACAGATTTCATCGCCTCTCTCCAAAATGATAACAGGACAAATTGGCATGACTGGACGCTCTAGCAGGTGGTGAAGGGCATGTAGATTAGGGAACTAAGAGGAGTCTGTTTTCTTCTGTTTGGGACTTGCTTTCTGCAGCTCTTTCGAGGAGCTGGGCTCAAAAACAATTTTCAGCATGGGCCCAGGCTGGTGATGGGGTGGGTTCGTTTTTGAAACAGAGATTGGAGTCCGTTTGATCTTCAAACATGAGCTTTGGAGACTGTCAGCAGGCTCCCTCCCAGCCGATGAACAGCTCTCAGTAACTTTTCCTAAAACATCACCTCACACACACTTTCCAGCAAATGTTTTCGCCCTACCAAAGCCATCATTTGGTTGAACAGCAGTGTTTCCAGACCCCGGAGAAAGATAGTTTTGTTGTTTTAAGAGAGACAGATTAAAACCAGGGGCTGCTTCGCTCGAGTTTGTGTGTGCTTCCTTCAGCCTTTGTCGGATTCCTCTGTGGTTGGTGCAAAGAGGGTGTTGAGAGTGATGGTGGATACCCCACCTCCCCACCCTAAAAGAGATATCGAGGCCAGACATAGGCCTCTGAACAGAGGGGCCTCCCACAAACCTGCCACCGAAATGAGATGGGCGGTGAGCGCCGGGGGTCCCGACACAGATAATATCAGCTCCCGAGGCTGGCAAGGGAAAAGTCACTTCAGAGGGAGAAAGCGGCTATGTTCAGAGGAATCAGCACTGGGCCAGAGAATACACAGGATTTTCCCCCGTGGAGAAGGAGTCAGGCGTAGTCAGAACCCTGCAGGGCGTGACTAACTGCCCCAATACTCCTGCCACTGGAGCCCTCTGGGTAAGGACTCCACAATTATGGGAGAGCCAGCAGGAGAACCGACAAACCCGCCTTTCATTTGGCCGGCAAATCAATCCGGCTTCTTACCTCCCCAGGGACAATATTGCATTTCCCTTAGAAAAACAAAGGCCAGAGATCTTGGAAAGGGGATCGGTTTCTGCTGCTGTTTCCCTGGTGAAGAGCTTGCAACATCTACGGAGCAGCAAGCAGGTCTGATTCCAGGGGTAGTTTCTGGTCCAGCCAATATATGAGACTGCCTCCTTAATGGGCAGTGCGTCTCTGAGCCATGCCTCACTCGAGAAATCAGCCCAAGCCCCATCTTGGGGCCTCCTTGAAGGAGTCTCTATCCTGGGATTGACAGCTCGTTCTCAAGGCACAGATGTGAACTCATTGTTCCCAGGATCTCAGAGCTGAGTTTGGGGCCAGTGAGTAGCAAGTGACCTCTGCCCATGGAGACGGAGCTTTTCATGACGTTTTGCTGTATCAGGCCTCTGGCAGCCAGAGACTTTAAACCTCTTAAGCCCCTCCCTTCTCTCCTACTTCAGAGGTTCAGAAATCAGAACCTTTAAGCGAACACTCTTCTCTGGAATTATTAACCCCAAAACTCTCCTGGCTGACTTTGTCCTGGCCTTAGGGAGGTGGTCCGAGGGTCACCTAGAGCTTTGCACAGAGCTGGGAAACTGACAGTGCTTAACCTCAAATGGCAAGCAGGGCTCAGTGCTGTCGCCAGGTCCCGGGCAACTCTGTGGGCTCAGCCTCAGGAACTCTGCTTTCCTCTTGCTTTCTCTGGCACTGTCCACGCACCAGCTTCAAGCCAGCCTCCAGGGCCTCGGGAAGGCCCGACACAAACCGGAAACCCCTCTTTTTGTTTCTGATCACCCTGATGGTCTGAGGGAAATTCTTTCTGCCCAGGCAAGCGCAGCAGGTGAGGAGTGTACATCCCCAACACGCAATACTGCTGACATAGATGCAAACACGCAAACGCTTACCCCAAATTCCAGCACACCCCACTCTCAACTGATACCACCAGTGCAGCCAGGGTGCTGCCTCGCAGCCCAAAAGAACCTCTCCTTACAGAAAAAGGACCTGACTCTGGCTGCCTCCCCCTCCCCCTCAAAAGACAATCAGAGAAGGGGACCCGGACTCCAGGGCTGCCAGCTCCGGGCTGGGGCACCGCATACCTACCTGGGAGAAGTTGAGCCCGTTGAGGGGATGGCATTGCTCCTCCACCCGCTCCACAGCCCCTGTGGTCTTCTTCATCTTCTCAGCCTGCTGGGCCAGGTAGAGGTCGAGCATGGGCACGCCACGGAAGCGCACGTCCCTCTCTGTGAGCGAGTTCACCATGAGCATCACCCAGACGGGCCTCTTGCGCTCCCAGTTGCCGGCGATGGCATTGAACAGGTAGTCAGCATAGAGCCCTTTGCCCCGCTGAGCAGGTGTCATCCAGGAGGGCATCATCAGCTTCACATAGTCCAGGTGGCGCTTCAAGCGCCAGTAAAGCTCGTGGGGCAGCACGTCCTGCAGGTTTTCCCCATGGGGCAGCAGCTGGCAGCTGGCCAGGGCCGAGATGGTGTAGGGGTCTGTCAGATCCAGCTCAAAGTAGACGCGGGCACTAGCCTGGAAGGCTGCCTTGGAGTTGTCGGGGATGAAGTCCCAGACGCGGGTGTAGGGGACATGGATCGTGCCAAACAGGTAAGCTGGGGGATCACGCCGAATCGTCCACAGGAAGGAGTTCAAGTCCCTCTGCTGCAAGAGGAGAGGAGAGGCAAGGCAGTGAGGCTGAAGGCAACAGAGTAGGGTCAGGGTAGCCCAGCTCGCATTGCAGAGGAAGGTGGGGATGGGAGGCAGAGACCTACAGCCATGGGAAAGAGCCAGGGCGTTGGAGCCTGATAGACCCACATTCAAAACCTAGCTTTGCCCTATCTTAGATACATGATCTCGAGTGAATCAATTCACTTCCCATAGGCTCGGTTTCCTGATCTGTAAAACGGGAGCAAAAGCAACTATCTTAAGGGTTTTTTGGGAGAATTAAAAGATACAATGTATGCATATTAAGCCCTCAGAGCAGTGCCAGACACAGAGGAAGTCGGCAATGAAGGGCAACTCTGATTAGCGTTTGCTGCGAGTGCCAAGGACTGCCACACCACCTGAGGATATTCATGCTTGGCCAAGCCAAACCTTCACGCGTGGTGTTTCATGTGGAGGGTGGGGAAAGGGGGAACAAGAGTCCTGCTCTGGCAAGAAGGGAGGAAGTCGTATAACTTTTAAATCCAACCATAAGAAGATATATGCCAAGAGCACTTTGAAAGCAGAACACCTATTAAAAATAGCACACCTATTTAACAGCTACTTCCCATTCATCAGGGTGAATTCGGTTTTCCTTTTGGAGGGCAGGTCTGGGGTGTCAGCTACTTTGCTCAACCAGCTGAGACCATAGATGAGAAACTGCTTTAAAATCTTGCAAGCCCAAGTCAAGTTCCAGAATCTGGTTTGGGGGGAAAGGATTCCATTACAATTAGTCTCAAGAAATGTACATATTCTGGGTACTTTCCAGGCTCCTCCCCTAAAAATGTATACCTGATCTCTAACTCCAGTTGTTTGTCATTTTCTATGACCTAAGCTCCAACTTAGGGGTGTGTGTGTGTGTGTGTGTGTGTGTGTGTGTGTGTAGGGGCTAAGGAGAGGCATTGCAGACAGGGGTCCTTTTTCCAGATCCAATTCAGGGCTGGGTGTAAAGAGCATGAGAAGAGGACTGTCATTTCTCTTAAGCAAAGCCATTTTCCATCCAGAAAAATCCCCGGAGTGCCCACTGACCACTTGCAAGCTGTAGACCAACTCATAACATTTTTCTGTCTGATTCTGGCACAAATAAAAAGTATGTGTTGGGATGGTTGGGTTGTGGGAGAACAGTACCTTACTTTAGTAACAACCCAAAACCGTAAATCCCAGCATGCTGGTGATAGACTGAGAGCCCAGCCAGCCAACGACCTCCCTGTTTGTGCACAAGGCCGGCCGCCGGAGGTGCACCTTGCCCAAGGTCAGCGAATTCCCGGTTAACAGGACAGCACACCTACAGCAGCCAGACCCTCCGACACTGCTTCCTGGTCTCCTGGCCTCCAATTCAGGGTTACTGTCAATGCATTCATTTACACTTAGAGGGAAAGATACTGAAGGAAATAAAGAGATTCTTTGTTTTGGACGGAAAATTAGGAGAAGCAGTAATTATTCGACCCCCAAGGAAATATTAGGCCAGCCCGTCCCGGCCTTGCCTTTTCCTCTCCTCTGAAATCGTCCCCCTTTTTAACGGAATGTGGATGCTTGGGAGAGTAGGTGCTGGGGGCCTGGGCTGCAGAGATGGAAGTGAGAACCAGCACCAGGGAGAAAGTTTGTCTTAGGTCAGAGTAGGAGGGCAGGGAGAGAGAGGGAAGCCTGGGAGAGGGCAGAGTGTGTGAATGGGAGAGCAAAAGGGTTGGATGGAAGTCAGGAGAAGGGCAAGGAACGCTAGAAAGGCACAGTAAGAAGCGGGCAGAGAGACCAGAAGGGTAGAGAAAAAAAATGAGGAAGGAGAGTCCAAAAGGGGCGCAGAGGGAGGAAGCGTCCAAGCAGGACCACAAGTCAAGAGGAAAGCCCGAGAGCCAGAGCGTGTGGAGAGGAACCGGAGAGGGAGCGCCCCTTCTCGCTCCTGGCTGGGAGCTGGAGCCGGGACAGGCAGGAGCGAAGGAAGGGCGCCCGAGGCTGTGCCCGGCCGGTGGAGGCGGAGCGGGTGGGCTAAGGTGGGTGCGGAAGCAGGACCCAAACCATCGTCCCCAGGGGGCTGGAGTACCCAGGCGGGCGGGAGAGTGGCCGGGCAGACGGTCGCTCACCGATCCGGGCGGCCGGCACTGTCCTCCGTCCGGGGGCTGCGGGCGGGCGCGAACGGTGGCGAGGAGGGCGGCGAGCAGCGGCCCCGCCAGGGCGGCGTGCATCCTGCCGGGGCCCGCAGGGCGCGGGGGACTCTCCTGGGCGGCGCCCCTCAGCAGGGTGGGGAGCCCCCAGCTGGGAACGGAGTTTCCTCTGGAGCACCGGGCTCCAGCCGCGGGATGCTGGGCGCCCTCTGGGGCGTGGCTGACTGTCCCAGTTGGACCTGGGGGTTTCTCTGGGGCGGGGCTCCGTCTGTTGGATGAGGGGGACCCTCTAGGGCTGGGCCCCTCCCCAGGGCGCTCCACCTCGCTGGCCGAGCACCGGGGCGCTGAGGGCGTGTTGGGGTCCTGGGGCGCGCGGGGTTCCGGAGCTGCGCTGGGGTCCAGGGGCGCGCGGGGTTCCTAGGGCAGAACTGAGAGCCCAGGGTGCGCTGGGGTCCCGGGGTTATGCTGGGCACCCGGGGTGCGCAAGGGTCCCAGGGGTGCGCGGCGCTCCAGGGGGCGCGCAGTGGGACAAGTGCGGCGGAGGGCGCGGCAGGGGTGGGGGGGCGGCTCTGGGGCGCCCGGCTGCCCCCGAGCCCGGCTCAGAGGGGCGGCGGGCGGCCGCGCGGCCGCTGCCCGGGCTCCGCCATGCTGCTCCGCGGCTGGGAGGGAGGGAGAGAGGAGGGCGGGAGAGCGGCGCGGAGCCGGGCCGGGCCGGGCGGGGGGCTGGGGCCGCTGGGGCGGGGGAGGGGAAGACCTGGCGCGGGGCGCCGGGGGCGGGGGGCCGGGGCCGCGCAGGGCCGGGCCGGGCCGGGCCGGGCTGGGCGGCTGGGAGTCGGGGCCAGCTCCGCGCCCGGGCGCGGCGAGGCGGGGTCTGATGGGCATGGCAGGCGCTCGCTCGCTCCTCTCTTGCTCCCTCGCTCGCTCCCTCACACACGCGCGGAGGGAGGCGAAGCCCGCAGCAGCCACTTCCCAACTTTCCAAACTTCCCAGCGCAACTTTTTCCTCTCCTCCCCTGCCCGCGCCTCCTCCCCCCCATCCCCCCTGTTCCCTTCGCCCGGCGCCACCGGGCCGCAGCTTCCGCGTGTGGCCGCCAGAGGGCGCCCGGGCTGAGACCCGGCTCGGCCAACGTCCGCGGGCTCAGCGGCAGATGCGGACCGGGTGACAGCGACAGATTTGGGAATGAGGACTAGCCTCGCCCAACGCATCCGTCCCGCGGATCCTGGCAGGAGCGAACAGTGCTCAGAGGGACCGGAGTGGGGCTGAGGAAATAGCAATCAGAAAATTCAGAAAGCTGCGGTGTACACCTTGTGTCACCCCTAGCGCTGGCATGCGCTTGGTAGGTACTCTGCAAACACCAACTGAATTAAAAAAAAAAGAAAAAGAAAAAGAAAAAAGGAAAGAAAACAAAATAATCATCCTCAAAATTTCTTGGAATCTTCCATTTAAGTAATCCCTTCTTATCTATGTTCTTGGAGCCACGCAGGATCCCGGTGTCTGTCTCTGGAAGAGTAAGGATTGATATCCCAGTTTCTTAGACCATGAGAACGGAAAGACCCCGTAAACCAACCTTCTCATCCTCAAGAGGCAAATGAGACTTAGAGGCGGCCAGGGGGAAAGCTCTAAGCTTCGGAACCGTTTCCAGCAAACGAAGAAAGGGAAGCGCAGGCACCCCTGCTTGGTTCTGTTAAAAAAGAGTTTGCTGTCTTTTCCCATCCAGACAACAGAAACTGACGATGAATTAGGTGATACTGTCAGGAGCCCACAGCCTAGAGAAGGAGACAGACAGGGACAGATATGCAAAGAGGCCATTAAAATACAGATGATGAGGGCCAGGAGAGACGGAAGCACAAGGAAATGAAAGCAGAGAGGAAGAGCTCCTGACACAGCCCAGCGGCCCAGGGAAGGCTCCTGGGAGATGGTCTTGAAAAATAAGTCAGAGGTAGCTGAGTGAAGGAGGTGCACACGCCTTCCAAGCTGAGGGAGAGCAGGTGCCAAGGCACAGCGGGTAAGAGCACACCTGCAGCGGACTGCACGGAATTACCTATGGCTGCAGGGAAAAGCAAGTGGCAGGAGCTGAAGTTGTGTTTCCGGCCAGGCTGTGGAGTCCATCCATTCTATGTACCAGGTGATAGGAAGTCATTGCAAGATTTGAAGTTCAAGGTGGCAGGAGTAGATCTGTGCTCATCCGGGCATGAATTGACGAGGGCAAGTTGGAGCCAGGGAGCCCAGTGGGCCTCACTACAAGGTTGAGTGAGGAAGACAGAGCAGGGCTGGAGGGGCAGAAAGGTTTTCCAGAGCACAAGATCTGGGCGGCTGGGAGGAAGGGGACACCAGAGACTGGCAGGCTGACTCTCACGTGCCACATGAAATTGCCAGTTCTGTAGGTCACAAGTGAATGCGTGTTGGCAATTTCATATGGTTCAACTTCCTGGGTGTCTGGAGCAGCCTCCACCTCTTAGCTACACACGTACCTGGTGAAAGATACCAAGCAGGCCAGAGTACCCAGATGGCATGTATGAGAGCACAGGACAGCTCCCTGCTTCCCACACACAGAGCTCTGAGGCCGCAGCTGTGACAAAAGATGTCCTTTAAAGAGCCTCCACTTTCTGGAACTCAAAACTCCCTACAAAGTCACCACTCTGCTGGTCAGCAACGGGGGAAGTGAGAACTGAATTCCACCGGAGGGAGGGTCAAGGTCCTCGCTGGAGAATTAGAAGACACAAGTCAGAGAGTGGGTAAGAAAGAGCCCGATCAATTTAAAATAATGCTGTGTGTAAATATGTGTGTGGATTTAAAACGTCTTCTCCTGTGTTGTAAATAAAAGTTTCCTGCTATCTTTGTTTCCTAAAATTATAAAATTTCATTGGCTAATTGTCATGAGTGTCAGCTCTGACCTCCTCGTCCATGGTGCACATGGTGGCTGTGATGACTGGGGCAGAACAATTAGCTTCTCTGTGCCTCCCTTTCTCCATCCAGTCCCTGTCCCCCTCACTTTCTGTGAGTCGGTGTGTGCAATAATGTCTTCAGATCTTCACCAGTTCTGTTACTGATATTCTTAATTAGATGCAAGAACAAATAGATGCTTTTCTATTCCTAGATATGATACCCAAGAGAACTGAAGACACTCATCCACACAGAAACTTCTACATAGAGGCTGATAGCAGCAGTATTTATAATAGCCAAAAGGTGGAAACAACACAGATGTTCATCAACTTATGAATAAATTAACAAAATGTGATATATAAAAATCCCATATCATATGCCTTCAATATCTACTTTTAAAAGACCTGTTATAGTCATATGATGAAATATTATTTGGTCATAAAACAAAATGAACTACTGATTCATGTTATGTCCAAGATAGCATAAATCAATCTTGAAAACACTGTGCCAAATGAAGCCAGTCATAAGAGGACATGTGTTATGTTATTCCATTTATATGAAATGTTCAGAATCGGCAAACACAGCAAGGCAGAAAGTAGATTGGTGGTTGCCTGGGGCTAGAAGAAATGGGGGCAATGGTGGGGCCATAGCTAAAAGCCACTGGGTTTGCTTTTGGAGTAATGAAAATTTTCTATAATGGTGATGGTTGAACTCTTTGACTATATTAAAAACCATTAGATTGCATTTCAAATGGGTGGATTACAGGGTATGTGAATTATGTTTCCATAAAGCTGTTACCAAATAAATAAATATTAAGTCTGGGACCTCATGAAAGAGTGTTCCTTGAGACTCCAGAGCAAGAGTCTCAGTGTTTTCAAACCATGTTTCCCCCCAACCATGGTATAGTGAGAGAAACCCTGGATGATGATCGGTCCTAAGGCCTGGAGACTTACCCTGCTTGTTAACATCTCATGAGGTAGCTTTGGGTAATTCACTTGTCCTCTCTGGACCTGAGTAAGAACTGAGGTTCCACGTCATCAGTATGAAGAAGCTCATGGAGCAGATCACCTTTAGGAGCGTGTATACCTGACACTGGAGTTCTGAGCCCCTTGGCCAGAGCCTGCCCAGAGCTTTTAGGCAGGATGGGGAAGAGCACAGGGCTCAAGAGAGAGTCAGGGGACTCGTAGCTTGCCTCCTCTCTCCTGGGGCACATCTGGCTCACTTTCCTTTTACTTGCATTTTAATTAAGTTGTTCAATCAAATTGGTAACAGGAATCTGTAGGCTGTAACAGCTGGGCAGAAGCAGAAAGCCTTGTAGCGGAACTAAACCAACAAAGTCTGCCTCCTGAGCAGATCCAGGAGCCCGGTGCTGCTGAAGGGCATCTCTCAGGGAGGGAGCTGAGGGGCTCGCCTGCTCCAGCCCCCTGAAAGGAGGAGCTTTGCTGGGGCCTGAGGGCTGCCCTCCTGCAAGGCCATTGCCCTGGCTACTGGTCACATTGGCATTTTCACATGGGTCTGGCCTGGCCTGACTTCCAGCTCTGACTCCTACCCCAGTCCTGCTCCTTCCTACCCAACCTAAGGCTCTATCTCCTCCACCCCCTCTTCCCCTACTCCCTCACCTGGGTTGGCAGTTAATCCTTGATGATGGAAGGACATGGGGCATGGGGGAGAAGGATAGCTGACTTTAGGACCAAGAGGTTGGCAGTGCTTAAGAGTGGCGAAAAGAACCAGAAACGTGCAGAAACTAATTCAGAAGAGGCCATTTCCTCCTGGCAATGGAAAATAAACACATAGGCACAAAAGTGCAACAAAGGATTAAAATTGCCATATAATATGGCATTCATTAAAAACAAAAAACCCTATGTGTTCCTGCCCAGTAGGGGAGTAGAGAGCACACAGGAATGAGTCCAGGGTTTTGTTCTTCCGGGACCTGCAATCCAGTGAGGAGGGCAGAGATACAAACAAACACGGGGCTTTAGGAAACAGAGGAGACAAAAGGAGCAGCTGAGTCAGCCTTAGGAGAAAGGAAGTCAGCAAAGGTCTTTGCTAAGGTCATGTGTGAGTTGATTCTTAAAGATGAGCAGGAGTTGGACAGGGAGGAGGAAGAAAGGAAGGTCAGGCATTGGGAACCCAAGGTGCAAAGGCATGGGAGTGCGAGTGCTTGCACGTGCAGGGATTGTAAATGACAAAAGCAGAGAGGTAGAACGGAGGAGAACTGCTGGGGACACTCAGAAAGAAGTCCACATCAGGAAGGACTGCGCATTCTCTTGGAAAGCCCTTCCTCCCGCTATTCAGAGGAGATCCCCCTCTGAGCCTGCTCTGCATCCGTTGTGGGTGCTGCTTGAGGGTGGCTGACACGCCAGGTTCCAGATGCGCTGTGTGCAGCCTCCGGGATGTAACAGCAATGAGAGGCATTGGCTGTGCTAACTCACAAACACTTAGTGGGTCCACACATGAACTGCGGTGTCTTACACAGGAAGGAAATAGTCCTGCCTTCCGAATACTTGCCGTTTCTGAACAAGACAAAACACAGGCGTGTGGCAAGTTAAAATGCACTTACGTGAATAAGGCTGCAATGAATACGGCGGGTGCAGGTATCTCTTCGCCACACTGTTTTTGTTTCCTATAGATATTTATCCAGAAGTGAGATTGCTGGATCAGATGGTAGTTCTATTTTGAATTTTCTGAGGAGCCTTCATTCTGTTTTTCATAATCACTTTACCAATTTATATTCTCACCAGCAGTAAAGAAGGACTGGTCAAAAGTACAAGTTTTC